CAGCCATGTGAGTTGACCTTCACCCTGACATTAGGGAACAGATTGTGGATCCCTTCATTTTCACCTTCACTGTGCCGTTCAATGAGTTGTGTTTTTCCTGATCTCAGTAATCCCTATATTTCTATAGTCTGTTTGTCTCCAATATATCTTGACACATGGGTGAGTACGGTGGTATTGTGTTCCCCAAAATATTGTGCAAGCTGATAAACTTATCTGAGGTCAGAGAACAGGACAGCCACAATAGTAAACATAGGTAGTGGTAGCACATGCCTCTATTCCTAGCATTCCAGAGGCAGAAATCCCTCTGGATCTCTGTGAGTTCAAGGCCACATTGGAAATAGCCAGGCATGGTGACTCACGCCTTTAATCCCAGAAAGTGAGCCTTGAATCCCAGGGAGTGATGGAAGATAGCAGAAAGGTATATAAGACATGAAGATCAGCATTTGGCTGCTTAAGATTTCAGGCTTTCCAGAAGCTGTTCAGCTGAGATTCATTCAGGATGAGGACTCAGTGGCATCCAATGCAGTGGGATGTTCTGTAGTGCAAATGTGTTGCTCTGATTGGTCAATAAATGAAACACTGATTGGCCAGTGGCTAGGCAGGAAGTATAGGCGGAACTAACAGAGAGGACAGAAGAAAGCACAGGAAGGCAGAAGGAGTCACTGCCAGCCGTCGCCATGACAAGCAGTATGTGAAGATGTCGGTAAGCCATGAGCCACGTGGCAAGGTATAGATTTATGGAAATTGATTAATTTAAGCTATAAGAACAGTTAGCAAGAAGCCTGCCACAGCCATACAGTTTGTAAGCAATATAAATCTCTGTGTTTACTTGGTTGGGTCTGAGCAGCTGTGGGACTGGCTGGTGACAAAGATTTGTCCTAACTGTGGGCAAGGCAGGAAAACTCTAGCTACAATCCAGTCTGAGGAAACAGGATCAGCTGAGGAATTGGCAAGGTGAGGTAGCTGTGGCTTGTTCTGCTTCTATGATCTTCCAATGTTCACCCCAATAACTGGCCTCAGGTTTGATTTTATTAATAAAAACTCTAAGATTCCTGCTATAGCTGAGGTTACTATAAAAGTATCCATAGAAGGCTCAGGCCTGGATTGGTACATTCTCTTTTATTTTTACATATAGTTGACATCTGTAATGCAACTGAGCCAACACCAAACATCACTTCTACTAATGATGCTTCTCTAACTCTCAGGTGAAACATTCCAGCGTTCCTACCTTCAGAAGAAAACAGAGAGATCCATTGCAGTAAGCATGGGACCAATGTTAACAAGAAAACCTCAGCAAACTCATAAAACTATGATAAGGAACTCTGTTGCCAATGGAAGGGATTTAGAACAGAGACCATAGATGACATCAGCTGACATGTGCACAGTGGTCACTCAGAATTTTCCACAGGCTGAGGGTATAAGAACCATCTTCAAAGGAACCATTACATGGGGCATTTTGGAAGAAAGTAATCTTTACAAGGATGGAAATTTCTTATGTGTATTGTGTGAAAAATTCTAGTTACCTCTACCTTATTAGAGCATTAACATACTGGAAGATGTAAAGAATAGATATCTTTCCCCCCCTCTATCTTTAGTAATAACATTTATTCATGGAAGATTTTCTACTCCCCATGAGAGGAAATAAATTGAAATGTTTTCAGATTATTTAAATTTCCCTCTGATTTCCAGCTGAACCTATATCATCACCAAGTCTTAAAATTAAAGATCTTTGTGGAAAACATAGAAAGTTCATTAAATTTGATAGCATGCTGCAAATGGATATCTTAGATGTACCATGGCATAATAACGATATGTTCATTAGAGATTAAGCAAACAGCTATTGCCGTAGACTATGTCATAGCAAAGGGTCTCTAAAGGTTTCTTTTTAACAGGAAGGGGAAACCACATGTTCTAAAATGTAAACAGACATATGCTTATGCAGTAATATTTTGTTTGTGCTCTGACAAATAAAGCTTGCCTGGAGATCAGAGGGCAGAGCTAGCCACTAGTTGACCATAGAGGCCAGGTCTTGGTGGCACACAACTTTAATCCCAGCACATGGAAGGAGGAAACAGATAGTGATATTGCTGGACAGAGAGAGGAGTATAAGGTTGGTGGAGAGAGGAGCTCACCTCATTTTAGGCTGAGGAGTTGGTGAGGTAAGTGTTGACTATAGCTGGCTGTTCATTTGTGTCTCTGATCTTTCAACATTTATCCCTATATTTGACTCTGGGTTTTCATTGTTAAGTCCAATTAGAATTCACACTACATGCTTGTTTGTGAGGAAACCCAAGGTGGAAGTTCAGAACTGCCTATGAAGTGAGGGGCATCTAGTAGTTCTGAGTAGCTTCAGTAGTTGTTAAGTGCCTACTATTGTGCCAAGCTCCTCTGAGTTCACACTGAAGTCTCTCATGTCTCTGGTAGAGTAAGACATGGAAGATGATGCAGATTTAAAGAAACTTGTTTATTGGAGGTAGCCCTACCGATACTGACACTGGCGTTGAAGTCCCAATTACAACCTGTGTCTTCAATCATCCACAGTATTATAACAACATATTCTACCCATTTCTTGGATGTTGTTCGACCCAGTGAATATAATGGTTGTTTACATAGAATTCAGACAGTATACGTGAGTGACAGAGTATGTAAGGTTTTTATGAGAACAGACCTGATTTCTTCACCTACACCTGGGATAGTGCACCTGAGAATAGTGAACACAAACTATGGGCCACAGCACAGTTTCCTTTCCTTAAACACTGTGAAATACACTGCAAGGAATAGCCACCAGGCATAAAAGCAGTTGCAGGACACACATACATTGATGGAGATTCAGGAGAGAAGGAGAAGAGGGCACTTCAGCCAGGGTTTGGCCTTCAGTCTGAGACTGGGTGTTATTCTTCTTGGGGGAGTTGCTAGAGAGCTAAAAAGGAAACAGAGTGCAGGTCAATTGTCCCTCCCAGATATAGTGATTTTCTCATGTTTCCTAGAAGAACTAGAGGCACAGATGTCAGGGACATTTTCTAGATCCTTACTTTGTTAATGCACTTCCAGACAAATCAGAAATGATGTGGATCCTGCCATCCAGGCATTGCTCTATGAACATGAAGATGGCCTCCTCTCCTTTGTTCAAACTCCTGGCTGTGACTTCCTCCCATGACCACTTTGCACTGCTTACTTGGAGACAGGGCCATCATTAGAGAATCCTCACAATGGACGACAGTCTGTCAGTCCTGGCTGGCCTGGCTGGATGTCCATCTACTTCATCATCTCTGGAAATCTAGTATTTGAGTCCCTGGTTCTTTTTTTTTCTTTTATTTATTTATTTTATTTTATTTTATTTAACAATACCATTCAGTTCTACATATCAGCTACGAGTTCCCCTATTGTCCCCCCTCCCACCTCCTCCCCTTACCCCTAGCCCACCCCCCATTCCCACCTCCTCCAGGGCAAACAAATCCTTCCCCGAGGATTGCGATCAACCTGGTAGACTCAGTCCAGGCAGGTCCAGTCCCTTCCTCCCAGACTGAGCCAAGTGTCCCTGCACAAGATCCAAGTTTCAAACAGCCAACTCATGCAATGAGCACAGGGCTTGTCCCCACTGCCTAGTTGCCTCCCAAACTGATCAAGCCAAACAACTGTCTCACCTATTCAGAGGTCCTGATCCAGCTGGGGGTCCCTCAGGCTTTGGTTCATAGTTCATGTGTTTCCATTCATTTGGCTATTTTTTTTCAATAATTGAGTAAAACCGAAATTTATTATAAGCCACCGTCATCCTAGGGACCTCCATGCTATATATATATAGCCTCCATGGTTCTATGGGTTGGGAGTCCCTAGTTCTTTATGCCTGATCTTTGGGCTGTGGGTGGCCTTAGGGAAACACACTGGAGATACAGCTGTGCAGTGCAGGGTTTTAGGGACTCCTACATTATGTACTCTGTGCCACAGGTTTTAGGATTCTGAGGGTTTTATGGATATTTTTACACATTTTCTCTCATGTTGGAATTGTCTAGAATTTCCTTAATGGCCATTCAGAATTAGACAAAGCATCACAGAACTGAATGTGAATCTTGTTAACTGAATAGGGAGCACAGACTATAATGCCATTTATTCTTCTGACTTTATTTTACCACTTGGATGAGGTACTATGTTTCAGTGTTAGGTTTCCAATCTCATGAAAGTCTGTAGGAGGAGATTACCAATCATAGCTCAAGCACTTATGGTACAGGCCCAAATATGTCTGCACACATAACTTTTAGTTCTTTTCTATATCACAGGTAGATACTTCACTGACATATTTAAAAAATAGCAATTCTCAGTGCAAATACATGGTACTTGTTTAATATGATGTTTTTAATCTCAATGCTAATTTGTTTACCTTTCATGAAAAATATTCCAACTCTGGGAGTAACTCCCTTAAATCAGAGTGCTTAGATATTAGCCATGCATAGCTGACCTCATAAAATTCCTGCCCCTCATTACAGAGAGGGCAATACAGCAGCAGTGATGTGTGGACTCCAACTTAAGTCTGTGATGTGTTCCTTAGGCATAACAGCAACTGCTTTTTGTCAATACTGTAACAAGAGCTCTGACATATAGATGTATCTGAGGGCGAAAGGTATGGAGAATCCAAACTAGAGTTTATTTTTTAATGGGACAAGTACTGTGATGGCAAGGTCAGATGAGTTTCTAAAAGCTAAGTTTTTATTAAGAATATTTCTGAGACCAGAGATTGTTCCACTGATAAAGACTAGATTCATAACACAAAAAATAAATATCACCATGTGTACCATCTTGAGAGCAATTGTGAGAAATAAGCAAATGTGACTTTAGAAAAAAAAGACCGCCAAATCCCTCTGCCCTTAGGAAGTGAGAAGCAAAAACGGAAAACCAGGAGTTTTTCTTTCCAGCTCTGAAGTCTTAGAGTTGCTGTGCTTGGTTAGAGCTGAGCGCCCCCTGCTGGTCCAGAGCTCCTCTACAGGGAGGTTTGTGTCTGGCTCATGCTAAAGTCTCCTCACTGTGTCTCTTGCACAGTAATAGGTGGCTGTGTCCTCAGTGGTCACAGAGTTCAGCTGCAGGAAGAACTGGTTCTTGGATGCTTCTCTGGTGATGGAGATGCGGCTCTTGAAGGATGGGTTGTAGTAGGTGCTACCAGCACTATTTATGTACCCCATCCACTCCAGCTTCTTCCATGGGGACTGTCTGATCCAGTTCCATGTATAATCACTGGTGATGGAGTAACCAGTGACAGAGCAGGTGAGGGACAGTGTTTGAGAGGGCTTCACCAGGCCAGGTCCTGACTCCTGAAGCTGTACCTGGGACAGGATACCTTCAGACAAGAAGAGACAATTCTGTCAATCACAGGTTGTCACAACCCCTCATGGACACAGGTATGAAATGGTAACACTCACCAGGAAGGAATGTCACCAGGTACAGAAGACCCAACAGTGTCATCTTCTAGGCTATACCTCCTTTTCCTCAGAGGTCAGCCTCCTGTGAGAGAGATATGAGCTTCCACAATTCAGGAGGGGATTTAACTTAGAGCTAGAAGATGCATTTGCATATGGGGGGGGTCAACCTTGTCCTTATAAATGGGGAGGGTGGATATTAAATCTGCTTGGTTGTTACACTATGGCCATCACTCTGTCAGACTTCCTGTAGTATGAGTCTGGAGTAAGAGAGCATGGGGACCACAGGGATCCCAGGAAACACATCTTGGAATGATCAATCTGAACTTCCTAGTCCAACCTCCCCACCTCCATTCTTATGCTGTTCTTTTGCTGTCTCAGGTCAGTGCCAACCTTCTTTTCACACTAGGTTCCTGAGCACTGCCTTTCTGATTAGTAAGGCCACACACTCCTGCTTTTCCTTCTTTTCCACTCATGAGATGGGTTTCAATCTTTCCTTGAAAATTGGTACATTGTCATATTGTTGCACAGGGTCCACACCTACTTCTTACTCCATACACACTGTGCAATGTAGAAGAAACACTTGCTGAGAGAAGGAGCTGGTAACCATGCACACCATGAACCTTGCTCAGGGACCCCATTTATTCTTTATGCTGTCCTGACTCACAGACCACCAGGGTTAGACATTGACAGTATCATGGGAGCAGGTATTTCATACCCCAACCACAGAGACTAAGAATTAAGTTAGAGAGGACGTTCTCCTGCCTTGGGTCTCTTTACATACTGAGACTCCTCTTGAAGTTTGTAACATGTGTCAGTGTTTGGGCACAATATGAGTCCTTCCCTTTTTTCTCATCTTTCTATTAGTTTTTAACCTATGGGCACACCTTTTTTTTCTCATATAATATATCCTGATTACAGTTTCTCCTCCATCTTCAACTCCAAAGACCTCTGCCTCCTTTCCCATCCAGATACAAAGTCTTGCTCTTTAGAAAACAAGCAACCGTCTAATGAATAATAATAAAATAAAGTGATACAAAACAAAAACTAACAGATTGGAACAGGACAAACAAACAGAAGGAAAAGAACCCAAGGAAAGGCAGAAGGGACAGGTGCGGATGCAGAGACCTCCTGATGTAAACACAACATGCTACATATGTGAAGAAAATGTAGGATAGGATAAGAGATAAATAAATAAATAAGAAAAACAACAGAAACCATGTGATATTATGAGACAAGGAACCTCCAAAAATGTATTTGAATTTGATATCTGATGACCATCTACTGCTGGAAATGAAGTTGGTTTCCTCAGTGAGACTCCCTAAGAGAAAACTAACTTTTCATATGCAAGTGGTTATCAATTGGAGATAGCGTAGGGGTTGTGGTGGGTGCTTGTGTCCAATTCTCCTTTCAGCTCTAGGACCCCATCTGGTGCAGACTCAATGGGCTCTGTGCAAGTATCTCAGTCTCTCTGAATTTGTATGTGCAACTGTCCTGTTCATGTGTAGAGCTTATTTCCCTGATGCATCTATGCCCTCTGGCTCTTATACCCCTTTCTCCTCTTCTTCTTCAGTGTTCCATGAGCCCTGAGGGGATTTGACGAAGACAACTCATATAGTGTTGAGTGGTCCAAGGTCACTCATTCTCAGAATATTTTCTGGCTGTGAGTCTCTGTATGTGTCCCCAACTGCTGCAGAAGGAAGCTTCTCTGATAATGGCTGAGTAAGGCACTGATCTTTGAAAGTAGCAGAATGTCATTGTGAGTAATTTTATTGCAATCTTCTCTTTTTTTTCTTTTTCTTTCTTTCTTTCTTTCTTTTTTTTTTGGTTTTTTGTGACAAGGTTTCTCTGTGTAGCTTTGTGCCTTTCCTGGAACTTGCTTTGTAGACCAGGCTGGCCTCGAACTCACAGAGATCCACTTGCCTCTGCCTCCCAAGTGCTGGGATTAAAGGCGTGTGCCACTGCCACTGCCACTGCCACTGCCACCACCACCGCCACCACCCAGCGCAATCTTCTTTTTATAGAACAATAATACTTATTTTTACCATAGGTTCTTGGATTATCTCTTCTGAGAATCTTGGTCAATCAAGTAAAGCATGGGTTCTATTTCTTATATGGACCATTTGTCAACTCATATATTGTTAGTTACTCCCACAGCAATTTCCATCATTGACCTAGCATACCTGGAAGCTGGATACAATTATAAATCCAAGGAGTTGTAGCTTGTGTTGGTATTACACTTCTGTAGCTAGAGATTTCCTGCCTTGCCCACAGTCAGGACAAATCTTTGTCACCAGCCAGTCCCACGACACTTCCTTTTTTTTTTAAAAAAGGAAAGTTTTAACCTTAACAAAGTAAAATTACATATAATTTGGGAATTTGGGCGTAGCTTCTCTTACTACTTCCTGCTGGAGGGGGGCGCTGTATCTTATGAGGACACAAAGAAAATTTTAGGATTATGGAGTAGTCCATGAGGGTGTATCGTCTGAGCCAATTGCCTTCAAACGGTTCTGGATGTTGGATCATCTGGGCCTTGGTGTCATCAGAGACCTTTCAGGGGGTCTTGGCTGGTCAAACCTGATGTATCTTAATCTGGAACAAATCCATAGCCTCTGGCTTTTTGTGGGAACAAAAGCAGAGTCTCCTTTCCAAAACAACATATCCCTACATCCAAATTTTGCAGTCAAGGTACCTTTAAAATATACATTTTGGCATAACTCAACAGCTTTTGCAATCAAATGTTTTTCTTCAGTTACGAATATCAAAGAGAAAATAATCCAGATTCTCTGTGTGATAGCCATCTTTACATGGCTAAATTTTTATAATACCTTGAGCCTATTGCTTTAAATTGCAGGCTTCTAAGACTGAAACAGAGGTATGGCTGCTGGCTCTGCCCACTCCAGCTTCCCAATATGGCGGTGGTACGTTTTCCACCAGCTCTGGGAGCCATCAACTCTCAGAAATAGTGGGTCTATGCTTCTATCAAAGCAGTGTGTAGCCCAGAAACCTCTTTTTGTTTTGTACAAGCAAAGGTTAAATCCACAACACAGCTTAATGTGCCACTTGCAGAGGCCTCATTCCAGCCAAACTGCAGGTCGAATTCTCATGCCAGGAACCCACCATAGTAGCTCTAACACACAGGCTGCCAGTAACTTGAGAGAAACAACTTAGGAACTGTTTTTAGCTCCATTTTAGAATCTTTTTTTCTCAGGTTTTATGTGGAAACACTTGCCAACACGTTGGGTGCCATTTGTAGCTAGAGTTTTCCTGCCTTGCCCATATTCAGGACATATCATTGTCACCAGCCAGTCCCAAAGCGGCTCAGACCCAACCAAGTAAACACAGAGACTTATATTGCTTACAAACTATTTGGCCATGGCAGGCTTCTTGCTAACTATTCTTATAGCTTAAATTAATCCATTTCCATAAATCTATACCTTGCCACGTGGCTCATGGCTTACAGGCATCTTCACATGCTGATTGTCATGGTGGAGGCTGGCAGTGACCCTTCCACCTTTCTGTTCTTTCTTTTCTACTCTCTGTTAGTCCCGCCTATACTTCCTGCCTCGCCACTGGCCAGTCAGTGTTTTATTTGTTGAACAATCAGAGCAATTTGACATACAGACCATCCCACAGCTCATTTCTACTTTGGAATCACCTACTGTGTTAGGTTTCCATACTACCCCTCAAATGGCCCTAAGTTTTAGCTCTCCCCTTATTTTCTCTATTGCTCCCCTTTTCCTCACACTCCCCTTTTGATCTTCCCTTCTAGCTGTCCTCACATGCATTCATAACTATCTGAAGTATTTTGTTTTCCTACAGGAGATCTACCGTTTCCACCCCAATCCCATAAGTCTTAAAACTCTCTCATGTGAATCAAGGTTTTCAATTCTGACCCTGCAAAATTCATTTTTTTAAAAAAAGGCACATGAATAAGTACAGGAGTTGATGGAGATTGTATCACTTAAATGCATACAACATTTCTGATCACAGACTAGGGATCATCACTGTCATCAGCAATAGAAATAATATGCCTACTGTTTTGTTAGAAATGTAATGAATTATCCTGTATGATTGTTGGATATACCATGAGTGAGCTAAGAAGTTTAATAAGTAGGAACTTTATCATGAGTACTTGTACAGATAGTGTTAATTCCAATGGCAAGAATTAAGACCAAACCCACAATTTCATCCAAACTTGAAGCAAGATTGATATAATTGGTGTGCACCCAAGATCAGGTCAGTGACTGCCTCCTAAGTCATGTTAAAGAGATCAGCCCCAAATATATCCCTTGGGCCCCTTTTAAGGAGTAAAATTATTTGTAGTTTAACAGAAGGGAGACAATGGGGCAATAAAGAAAAACAAAAAACCTGAAAAGGACATCAAGTGGCCACCCACCATTTGATTAGATGGGTTAAGGGAGGGTCAGGAAGGGTCAGAGCATTCTCAAAAACAAATCAAGGTCATAGGTTGGGGAAAGTCAGTTTCCAGGAAACAGAGAGCAACCCAACTCTCACAGTAAACACAAATTTATTTAAAAAAATACAGTATAATGGCTCTTACCTCTGTAATGTTGTCAGGCAGGTTTCTCAATAGTAGAGAAGACAGGCTTCAATCACACCTTTATTGTCCATTCATCAGCTGATGGGCCTCTAGGCTGATTCCAGCTCTGAGATGCAGTGAAGAAGGCAAGGCTGAATACAAAAGATCTGGTATCTTTGCAGTAGTGAGTCCTTCAGTGTCTGCCCAGGAGTGATGTAGCTAGGCCACATGACATTTCTGTTTTTAGCTTTTGGAAGATATTCAGAAAAAATGTCATAGGGACAGCAACATTTCACACTCTCACCAACCACATGTTATGGTTACCCTTTTTCCAATTAATCATCAACATTTGGTGTCATTTGTTTCCTTAATAAATGACCTTCTTAGAGGGATGAAATCTAATTCTATTTTTTTTTAAATTTGCAATTCACTAATGGGTCAAGATGACGAAAACTAGCTGGGCGGTGGTGGCACACGTCTTTAATCCCATCATTTGGGAGGCA